ATTTCTCTGACATCATTTCCTCCAACTGTAACAATCCTTGTATACTTTTTAAAACCATTAACTCTGTTCTTAATGCCCCATAATCAGCCAGCCTGGAGAACTCCACTGCATTGTGTGAGAACTTCCTGAGCTTTATCAACAAGGTTGCAAACATTAGAGCTCTCATAAGCCCTACTTCTTATGACCCCTCCATCTCTGTCACATGCTCTGCTGCTTTCAGTCAGTTTGTGCTTGTCACTTTGCCTTTTTTTAAAAGACATCACTGGTCATGTGAAGTCTGCTAGATCTCCAAAAGATCCCATTCCACCACGTCTTTTTAAAGAGGTTTTTCACACGGCTCCTTATGTGCCTAATTATAAATGGTAGCTTGACAAATGGACAGGTACCAGCAAGTTTTAAACATGCGTGACACCACTGATTAAAAAGCCATGGTCTTGACTCCACAGTAATTTCAAATTTTTGGCCAATCTCAAAATTGCCCTTCCTTCGTGTCAAAGATAATTTAATTGCTAATTTAATTCTTAAAGGATAATTAATCCTTATAAATACCAAAACATGGATATTTGTAGGCCCCAAATGAAAGCAATCTGTGTCTTTGTTTAACTTTATCATTTTTCTCCCAAATTCACAAACTTCTCTTTGACTTTTTTCCTCACTCGTCCTCGAGTAAGACGGATGCTTTTTCTTCCATCTCCTGCCTTCCACCTGCTTTTGCTCTTCGTCCTGTGTATCAGAGCTTCTATTCTCACATCTTCTGAATCGTAAATCACTGTTATAGATTTGGTCAGCTGGACTTTCAACGCAATTGATAACATTTGTTCAACCGAGCGACAGGGTGCTGGAGAACCCTCATGCCCCGGACAGATGCACGCGGCTGGGTATGTCATGGCTCCGTGGGGGGAGTGGAAGATGATGTGCCTGTCTGTGTTGTCTCTGGAGGATGTTGAAGATTTATTCATTGTTGGATTTATGATAGCAGGGTTTCAGCTTTTTGATACCGGCGGATACCTATGTTATCAGCTATTAAGAAAGACGTCAGCAACAGTTTTGGTCATGGCAAAGCTGCCTACCTTATGTGAAGGATTAATTCATGCTTTGGGCTCTCAGACTCAACTGATTTGCGAACTCAACCATAAGCTGGAAGCGATTTATGAGAATTGTAGGTCATTTGCGGCTTCTGGAACTCGGCAGCATGCTGGAATCGATCTTGGAGAAGGCTAATAAGCACAGACCAGCGGTAATCCCACAAATCTGGCCATTTTGGATTATCGAGAGTACCAGCAGAACTTAAGGCTGATGAAAGAAGAAAACAACTGTGGCTTATCTGCATCTGTTCTCCCCGTCTTCCTCGAATAGGCCAACTTATCAAATTGCTCCTGGGGATGTGTAAACCAAGAAAGCTCTGCTCTATCTACCTGATACTTTAACATCTTATCAGGACTATGGAACTATCTGGAAGTGTTCATGGACAACTCTCACCGTCTTGTCGTCCAATGCATATTCAATGTGTCTATGAATGGGCTTACTGGTAGAGGTTTTTTGAAGTCTTAAACTGTGCCCTGACAAGGACAAGGTGTGAAGAGATCTTTTTTTCATACCCACTATCCTCATGGTCTCTCCCCTTTTCTTATGTAAAGAATAAGGGCCGCGCTTCTAGGAGTTGCAGCCACGTGTACTCCGCCTATCTTTTGGATGACCGTACAGAATACAGTTTTGATGTACTTCGCTGTGCAATGAAAATAAAGCTTATTCTGATTCTGATTCTATGAGAGTCCCAGAGAGACTGTGTGAGCTGCAAAGCATGCTGGGCAGCACTGTGGAAATTACATGTACAAGTCTGGAAATGGGCTGTTTGTGTTAGTGTCCAGTTCAGGTTTGCTTTGGCATTTATGTTGAAGTCTGTTATAGCCTGTAAACTGACACCATGATTCAGAGGTTGTTCCTGGTACATACAAGGGGGAAATCACTGAGTGGTGGAGCAGTGAGCAACCTCACTGAAGAATGGTGTCAGGGTGAGGCCTGGCCTGGTGTTGTTTAGTCAATGCTTACAGTGCGGAGGGGGCACTTCTTAAAGTGTTTGCCTGTATGCTCGTGAAAATGTTGAAAATTGAGATGGGCACATAACAGGATGGCCTCTCTGACTGGAATATTTGACATTTCAAATAGTTTAAAGGTTCCTCTCACTTCAAAATTTGTTAATGAACTCATGGCAGACCACCAGTTGAATAGCCCTGAATTAAGGTGTACATTTGGTCAGGTGCAAGTTATATAACCTCAGATTAAGATAAGATAAGATAGAACTTTATTGATCCCGCAGGAAATTGTTGCAGCAGAGTTTCAGTACAAAGGAACATACCCATTGAATCACACAAAATATAAAAAATAAAAGAAAATATAAAAATACCAGCAATAAAGATCTAAACAGGTCAGGTGCAGACATGTGGAATGTCTTAACATGTGAAATGTTTTAATGTGAAAACATTAACACCAACATATGGCATGTTGCATGGTATCATTAAATATTCAACACTAAATTCATTCACTCACCTTTTATATCAGGTGTGAGCAGATCTGTCAGAAGACGTTTAGGGAAATTAAAACTCTTGATCACTTAAAGACAGACTGCAGCTCAAAATTGCATTAATTTACAAAACAGAGTAAAATGTTTAACCATTAGAAAAACCTCAATAAAGCCATCTGTTATAAAGGAGTTGTTAGTCTTTATAGTAATTTAGGCTTTGCAGCAGTGATCATAAACAACAACAATGCTGATCAATTTAGACATTTATGGCATTTTTTCATTATAAGGCCCAGCACGGCCTAGTCGGCCTGCCCTTATTCTACCCCGGTCATGGCTGTGTTTGCTTTAAGCAAAGTTCCGCCTTGATGTGGACGGGGATCATCATATCAAACACGAGTGATGTCATATTATTTGTGACAAAACAATGGATGACATCAAACTCGTGCTACTTCTCTTTGTTCATGAATTCAAAACCAACAAAACCAGCAAGAGAAGAAAGAGAAACTGATCTCTCTCTCTCTCTCTCTCTCTCTCTCTCTCTCTCTCTCTCTCTCTCACAAACCAACAGCAACACCAGTGGAGGCACTGAGCAGTCACTGTAGGATGATCTGTGAAGTGATCCCTATCAATGGCGAACAGTATATTTATGTGAAATCGACCCCAGCTGCCTGGCCCGAATGGAAGCCCATGCCTCTGTGCTCCAGGAATTGGGCCAAATGCAAATACATAGAACTCTGGTTTGAACCCATGCTGGGCCTTACAATGCAAAAATACCATTACACCCAGACATTTGTATAACATTTGTTCACTCAGATGATTTCCATCACATTCAAGTGGTTTTGGAGCTAATTGCAAAAGTAATGGGGGGTGGAGTGAATGGGCAGCAGATTTAAATAATTCTCAAACTCAATATGAGCCCTTGGTGCAGTCAAAATTAATAAACCCTGTGAATAGACGAAATAATATATTTTGGAAGATAAAGGATGGAAAACGATCAAGAATAGCTTTGGAGATGAGGGTGAGCCGATGGTTTAATGGTACACATCACCTAATTCACATCATTCTCATTGTTCAAGTTAAAGTTTGAAGCTTTCAGCTGAAAGAGGATTGCATAATAAAATAGAGTACTTGCAAATTAAAAGCAATTAATGTGGAATTTAATTAAAGGACAACGAGCAGTTTGCCAGTGTCCCCCATCACTGAGGGATGTGAATAGAGAATGTTAGTAGTTTTGGAGATGAGTGTTTTATGGACTGAAATTGAACAGGGAATTAAAACTTTGTTCTTGTCCGAGGTAGCAATTTTATCCACCAGCAGGTGCAATGATGGAGCCAGGAGGTGGCCAGTGGTGACCTTGGCTACCATAGATTAATCTTGGGCTTCCTTAATCATTTGAGGAAACTATACCATCCATCCATCCATCCATCCATCCATCCATCCATCCATCCATCCAACATCTTTACCCACTTCTTCTTTTTCGGGTAGCATGGGGTTCACTGGTGCCCATGTCCAACTATCACTGTGCGAGAGGCGGGGGACACTGTGGACAGATCTCCAGTCCATCACAGGGACACATAGAGCCAAACAACCATTCACTCTCTCACTTAGATTTTGGTATGCAGCTACATCTAGGCAAAATAATGTTTTATTTTTCAAAAACTGGGGTGCCATGCAAAAATCCAAGATGGCCAACATCATATATATATATGAAAACCAACAACCTTTATCATTTGAAGAAACTGCTTTCTAGTTTTTATTTTGCTTTAAAGTATTGTTTCCTTGGTGGCTCGGTTAGTAGAGCTGTTGCCTCTGAACGAGAAGGTCGCCAGTTCAAATCCCGGCCCAGGGTCTTTCTGTGTGCAGTTTGCTTGTTCTCTCCGTGCATGCGTGGGTTTTCTCCGGGTACTCCAGTTTCCTCCCACAGACCAAAAACATGAATGTCAGGCTGATTGGTCACTCTAAATTGTCCCTAAATGTGAGTCAGTACCTTACTTATTTTTCAAGTTATCATGCTCACAACATGCACGGACAGATGGAATGTTTTTTCTAATTCAAATCTTTTCAAGGTACAATCAAAGCATTCAAAATACAGATTATATTAATAAGTATTCAGACTCCTAACACTAAACTTATTACCAGAATATACATTTTGTTTAAATTCTTTCCGTGTTTATAAAATTGTGTCTGACGTTAACAGCAGGGCAAATTAATGTCGACGTTAGCATTTGAAATGAGATGACACAATGTGAGGATTTAAAATGCTTCATCTGCTTTGTCAGCTCGCTCCACCTCTTCATGTTGGCACTTTGAACAGCTGTGAATCACGAACAGTCAATCCCTGAGCACACCGAAGGCAGGGGCCACACTTTGTCCTTCAGAAAACCCCCCGTGTGAGGCAAGCAAACTGACCTTTGGACCCACAGAACTGCGAACAAAACCCTTTTCTCTCCAGGTTTTTGCTTTTTGAACCTCGAGGGAGGGGATGGCAGAAGGTGCTGATGGAGAGGAGGAGATCCAGTTCCTGCGTACAGTAAGTGACGTTCTTCTGATTTCTTCTGATTTCTTCTGATTGTTGAATATTGGAGGCTTGTAGGTCTTTTTAAATGTGGACAACTCTGACATTTAGAATAACTTTCTTTACTTAGACCGAGCACTGATTGACAAAAGCAGGTGGTCGGCATTGTTCCCTATTTATATCTCAGCATGCACGTAATTTATTACTGTTTTGTCAGAGAGAAGAAAGTCCCTGGCACCAAGTAACAGTTCACACATGGACATAAATATATCTACATAAAGCAATGTGTGACTGCCAAATGAACTACGGTTAACATTTTTTTTTTTTTATTCAGTTTAGTTTTCTGTATTATATAATCACTTTTCTGCACAAAGACAATTAAATCTGTGGTTGAAGAAGACATCAATCAGAAATAATAATAATAATTAAGAAAAGTTCTGGTTTATATTTGAACAAAGTGTGCAGAGGCAGTCCATGCAGAGTAGTGAATGTAAACAGATCCATTTTTTTAAAGGAAGCTATGTAGGCATGGAGAACAGAAATGATAAAAATCAAGATTTTCTTTTCATATTGTTGTAATTAATTGCTGATATGATTTATATTGCAAATATTTTAATTATACTAAAGTCCAACTGCAGTTTGAACAACCAGAAAAACTTTTCTGAATATTAAATTTTTGATCAATTGTTTTGATTAAATAGGCTAATTTTGCCGCTCTGGTTGGTTTGAGCTCATTCTTTAAATCAGATTTGTTTTCAGGTCTTTGATCTTTTTCATAAATATTTAATGTGATGAAGTTTTGAGGAGTTTTTCAAATGATTACGTTTATTTTTACCCTGGAGTGTCGGCTATCCTCAGTTGAAGGACATTGTGGCGACGATAATGTACCATTCTTTATTTGGAAGGCTGGCGTTGATATTTCTGCACATAGTTGCGTCACTCGAGCTGTTGTAAACCTAGTAACTTCAGCCTTCAGGTTTTAGTCTGAGCCGAACTCTGACTGTCTGCTGGTTGCATTAATTAAAGTCAGTGAAGCGTGACGACACTTTACTTCAAGAAACAAGCACTTGATGTTTAACATGAAGCTCACTTGTGTTTCAGATGACACGTCCTGGCTTGAAACTCAGCTGAGAATGAAGTATGTGCACAATGTGTCATTAAGTTGCTGTCTGTTCGCCTTCGACTCAGCTGGGTTTCTATATTTACTGTGTGAGGATTAGCACGTTCAAAGCTTTGCATGTTTCAGCAGCTGTTTGTTTCAGTCTCTGTGGAAGTGTTTCTCCTTGATTTACTGCTGCTGTCTGGTTTACAACGGTCTATTCTAAGATAGTAATTTCAAATTATTTCAGCCATATTTTATTCCAGGATATGTTTTATCAGTCGAGTGTTTGTCACTGCATTTCAAAATAATTGCCCCCCCATCGCAGAGCAAAGAGGTGGAATTGGAAAAACCCACCATCTAGGTGGGTATTTCACCATATTTGTTTACATCATCTTGATGTAAAAAAGGTCACTACCCAAAATTTGGCCACCACGTCAAAATCTAAGATGGCTGTCGACATATATGTCTGTCCAACTTGTGTGCTGGATATTTTCATGTATTATTATTTTTTCTTCTTTCGGCTGCTCCCTTCTTCAGGGGTCACCACAGTGAACTAACTCACACGAAGACTTGGCAATTATTTTACTTTACACCAGATGCCCCTCCTGATACAACCACAGACCACCGAACTTCCACAGCCCTCTGTGTGGTGTAGAGAGCTGCTTACTAAGGTGCCTGGGGAATCAGATGGTGGGGTTAAGGGCCTTGCTCAAGGGCCCAGAGTGGAGCAAATGAGGGTGGAGACAGGTGTGGGTGTTTCGTCTTTTCCACCCACATTTTGATGTTGTCTGTCTGGGCCCTGGGAGTTGAACCGGCGACCTTCCGATCACAGGCCCACCTTCTCTAACCTCTGTGCCACCACTCTCCTGTCTTGTGAACTGGATAATTTGAAAAATAAATAACATGCCGACTTCCATTTTCATGTTCTGCTGCATCTAGGCATAAGAAAGTTTGTCACATTAAAATCCAAGATGGCCACCACCATATATTTATGTAAACTTCCCATCCCTATCATTTGAGGAAACTTTGATTTCTACTTTTTATATTGCTTAAAAGTATAGTTTCCTCAAATGACTAGGGGGTGGCCAAAGATTAACACATGAGGGTCAAGCCCCCCTCCCACCCTCCAACTGTCCTCTGTTGCACCAGGTGGTGGATGAAATCACAAAAAAATAAACATGACTCTCCCTCTGTTCTCCACAGTGTATCTCCTCTCCACTTGAATATCTTACTCCAAAAACATTTAGGTTTACTTACATTCCCTGTTCATTTTCAGTCCAGAAAAACACTCATCTCCAAAACTACAAACATTCACCATTCAAACCTTTCAGTGATGGAGGACATCAAAGCACCATTTTTTTTAACCCACAGTTAGTGAGGTTATGGAGAGACAGCTGCCACAGAAACAGTTGTTGTTGGAATGATGAACACGTTGTTGCTGAGTGCAGGCTGTTATGAATGATGGACATTCTTCTCAGGCTGAAAGTGAAGCCAGAAAGTTTATCTCTGAGCAATAAATAAGTAGAAATTATTAGGTTATAAAGAGAATTTGTATTTGCATTAATTCAGAAAATAACTGATTTTTCTGCAATATTCATTTCTCTAATGAGTTTTTTGGAATCACTGGATCATTCTTAAAACTCCAATCCCACTTAAAGGGACATGAGTAAAAAGACTATAGGATGACATAATATTTCTTACAATATGACCGTCTTTAATGTGTGGGCTGTCACTGTGCGGGACCAACAAACAAGCTCTTTCATACAACTCAGAAAAACCACTTCATTTAAGTTAATTTTTACATTTTTAGGATAAACTTTTCCTTGAATTGGTTTCTATCATGACTTAAAGGGGATGTCACTCAGTTCTGTAAACACAGACATTAGCTCCCTGTACTAGTTAACCTCTCTCTAGAATTCCCAGTGACATTGTTAATCAGGGAAATCCTGGAAAATGACTCACTATTTCCAAACAGTGAAAACTTTGGGAGTTTGAACGCTCATCTGCTGATAAAAGATAATCTTTCTGAGGTTTTAATGTGTTCATATATCACTGCTAATATAGTGTCAGTGAGTTCATTCTCTGCTTCTATAGTCTTCATGGTACATGTATCCTTACTGAGTGACTATCGTGGCTTTTTATTATCTGATGTTCCATCCATCTATAAAGACTCTACTTCCTAAGAAGACTAAGCAAGTTTGGTACGAACACCTGCATCCTTACCAACTTTTATAGGTGCACCATTGAGAGCTTGCTGACAGGCTGCATCACAGGGTGGTATGGGAACTGAACCAGTCAGAAAGCTCTACAGAGGGTGGTGCAAACAGCAGAGGACATCATTGGTGGCAGTTTCCACACCATCCAGGACATCTACCACAGCCGATATCTGCGTAATGCACGCAGCATCATTAAGGACAACATCCACCCAGCACAAGGACTCTTCCGTCTACTACCCTCAGGCAGACAATACAAGAGTCTGCCATCACGTACAAAAAGACTCAAAGACAGTTATTACCCACAAGTTGTCAGATTACTGAACTCTTGATAATAACACTGAACAATTGACAATAAAATTGCACTAAGCCACATCTGTGACAACTAAAATGTTTTTTGCTACTGCACAATGTGGTTGTATTGTGTATATATGTCATGTATGTCATATCTCATGCCATATATGCCATATATCATGTATGTCACTATCATACCATCATAATTCAATTAATCTCAATGTTACTCACTACCTGTGCAATAATCTGTTACACAATCTGTGTAATTTATGTTAGTTATGTGCAATATATATCATGTGCATTTACGCTTATATTACTGCCTGTAAAATACTTTTTTATACAAAGTCATCCTACTTGCACCGTAATATTCTACCATGTTGTTGTTTACTGTATTTCTTTTGGACCTTGTAAATATTATATTTCTTTTTCACATTTTGGTACTTTATTTTGTACCTTTATTGCATTCTATAGTGTTTCTTATTTGTTTGTTTATAGTGAGTCGAATCGGTTCTTTTCATCCTGACCATTTCATTACACTGTTGACCTTGTGTTAATCTGCATGACAAATAAGCAACATAACATGACAGTATCTTTACCTGCTTCTTCCTTTTTGGGTTGCGGGGGTCAGTGGTGCCCATGTCCAGCCATCACTGTGCGAGAGGTGGGGGACACTCTGGACAGGTCTCCAGTCCATCACAGAGACACACGAGACAAACAACCATTCACTCTCTCATTCTCACCTAGGGACAATTTAAAGTTACCAGTCAGACTAACATGCATGTTTTTGGTCTGTGGGAGGAAACTTGAGTACCCGGGGAAAACCCATGCATGCACAGAGAGAACATGCAAACTCCACCCAGAAAGGCCCCCAGATGGGATTTGAACTGGGGTGACCTGCTCGCTGAGTGGTGGCAGCTCTACCAACTGCGCCACAGTGCTGACCCAGATCTGATGTTTTACAATATAAATAATATTAGGAATGATTACCGTATGCATGTACTGTAGGCTATAGTTTACTTCCTGTCATCTCTGAATGTGAGTCTGTTCGCCACCTTGGACATTAAGTAATGAGCATTTACTGTGACTGAAATATCTCCTGGAATTTCTGGATTTATTCAGAGAAAAATCAGGGAATCTAATTTTCATGAAATACTGGGAACCCTAATCTTTACTTCACAATGAAAGCAAAAAGCTAACATTTTGTTAATTTCAGATACCGATTGTTTGAGACTTTTTGTTTTGCTTCAGGCCTAAGAGAGAAATGTTCAGCCATGGTATTGATTATCTGCATTTCAAGTATTCTTCAAACAACACTCTGTTTACACAGAAAGTAGAGCAACACTTTCCACTACAGTTGACTGTGGTGGGGAGAACAAAACAATTCACTTTGAACAGGAAGAAACTTATGTCAGAGCCAAATCCATAATCTGCTGTGAGTGTTTCAGGTGGTGGACAACTACAATGAAACGGGAAACAAGAGTACACACCTGTGCAAATTAGTACATAAGTTGGATTATTTATATTGTCTCCCACCACGAAGCGAACAGGAAATACAGTACTATCCAATCGTCCGTCAGTCCATCCATGCATGTTTTTAAGCATGAAAACTTAAAAAATAAGTGAGGTACTGACTTCCATTTTGGTGTGTGGCTGCATGTAGATGTAAAAATGGTCACTATCAAAAATTGGGTTAAAATCCAAGATGGCCACCATCACATATATGTAAACCAGCTACCCTGATAATTTAAGAAAACTTTGCTTTTTAGTTTTTATATTGCTTAAACGTATAGTTTCCACAAATGATCGGGGTGATTGAAGATTAATCTATGAGGGCCAAGGCCACCTTTGGCCACCCCCTGGCTCCACTATTGCACCTGGTGGTGGATTCAGGTCTCTCTTGTAAATGAGTCCCCGAGGCTCAATGGGATTAACCTGTATAAATAAAGGTTGAATGAATAAACTTGCTCCATCCACTCTCCATGATCCATCGCTCTGCGCTGCCTCAGACAAGACAAAACCTCCCTCTGTTTTTCTCCACAGTGTAGCTCCTACCCACCTTGGGACCTCCTACCATCTTGCAATAAAAACATGAAGGTTTACCTCATTCCCTGTTCAGTTCCAGTCCAGAAAATCACTCCTGTCGAAAACTACAAATATTCATTATTCAGATCCCTCAGAGATAGGGGATATTGGCATTAGGCCTGTCACGATAACAAATTTTGCTGGGTGATTAATTGTCTCAGAAATTAATGCGATAAGCAATAATAATGTTTGAAATTTGACAATAATTGGTAATTATTGTAAAATTTAATGACATTTTGGTTTCTTTGTTTTGCATGTAGTACTTTTTTTGACCACCCGATGGCAGTATAAGACTGTTTGTTTTTGAAGGATGGATAGTGAGGGAGCGAGTAGCGTGTCTCTTTAAGAAAAATGTAAGGGAGGCCCCTTGATGTGACATGGCCTGTCTCTTGTTCCTGTTTTTCTGTTTTCAAAATGGCAAATGCTCTGTGTGGTTTGAGCTCTTTAGCATAGCATTTTTCACACAAAACTTTTAATTAAAAAATCAGTAAACAAGTTCTCAGCTTCTTTTTGCAGAGAAAAACAACTTTTTACACAAAGGCACGGGTTTCAACCGTGAATTTTGGAGCTTTGACAAGACGGAGGTTTTTTCCCAGAGGTCGGCCTTATAGCTTAGCTTCTCAGCTTAGCTGCTTTTAATGATCCAAAAACATGATTTTGGATTGTTAAAACAGGTTTTAAAGAGAAAGGGAGGGGTAGTGAAGAGTACCAGAGTTGAGCCTTTTGTGATCCAGTGTCTTCAGTAGAAAGAGAGAGACACGAAGAAATGATAAAGCAGATAAATGAAAATGAGGTCAATAATTTTCATTCATCATGTGACTAATTGTTTATTGCAACAGGCCTATTGGCATACTGCTTATTGTAATATTTTTAGAAGCTGGTTATTGTATGAAGCTCACAGACACATTTACAGGTTTAAAGCACAGAGAATAAACAGGAAAATGTTAGTAATATTTTTTTAACAAGCGTCCTTCCCACGACTGTCGAATTGTAAATCTTTTTTTTTTACTTTTCCAGAGAGGAGTGTCTGAACAGCAGGTGCAACTGACTGAAATAGAGGGCTTAGGGGTCCTGGAGCCAGATTACAGTTGGGCTCTAACTAAAACAATAACATGTACACAAAGTTTGTTTTCTCAGTCATCCAGGTATATAACAACAAAAAAGGTTGAATCATGAATGGTTTTGAAACCATTAGTGAAAAGGCCAGACTTCAGGGGTATCTGAGGCAGGCTTGAAACACAAGAGTCAGGGTGGCTTCTAGGTAATACCAGATGGCTAGGCCTCAGACTGACGAAGCCTCTTGGATG